GTGGAGAGGCTGTGAAGGCCTAAGAATCTGAGGGGCTGGGTTGTGGGGCTGGGGTTTCATCATCAGTACAGCAATCTGTGTGATCGAGCCCATGAGTCGTGCTGTGCGGAGGGGTTGTATGCATGCTCTGCAGTGGGTGCTTTGACAGTTGAGATGGCTCAGCTGGCAGTTGAGATGAAGTTTCTGCGAGGTTGAATGGATGAGTTGTCAGCTCGTTTCCCTTGCCTATATGCTCCTCCATCCTTTTTCCCCTGCTCCTCTGCACGCTCATGTCATTTTCCAAAGCCGGTTGCTCCTGTGACCCATCCTCCCTGCTGATGTTTTCCCGTGTCCCATCCTCCCTGCTCATTTTCTCCCCAGATTGATCCCTGAACGGCAGGAACCTTTCATGAGACGTCAGGAAGCCAGTTTGTTGCGCCCATCCCATCTGCAACTGCCTCGGCTGCTGCTGCTGCTGCTGCTGCTGCTGCTGCTGCTGCTGCTCCTGCTGCTGCTGCTGCTGCTGCTGCTGCTGCTGCTGCTGCTGCTGCTGCTGCTGCTGCTGCTGCTGCTGCTGCTGCTGCTGCTGCTGCTGCTGCTGCTGCTGCTGCTGCTTGCTGCTGCTGCTGCTGCTGCTGCTGCTGCTGCTGCTGCTGCTGCTGCTGCTGCTGCTGCTGCTGCTGCTGCTGCTGCTCTGCTGCTGCTGCTGCTGCTGTGCTGCTGCTGCTGTGCTGCTGCTGCTGCTGCTGCTGCTGCTGCTGCTGCTGCTGCTGCTGCTGCTGCTGCTGCTGCTGCTGCTGCTGCCTGCTGCTGCTAGGCTGCTGCTTAGTGCTTGCTGCTGCTCTGCTGCTGCTGCTCCTGCTGCTGCTCCTGCTGCTGCTCTGCCTGCTGCTGCTGCTGCTGCTGCTGCTGCTGCTGCTGCTGCTGCTGCTGCTGCTGCTGCTGCTGCTGCTGCTGCTGCTGCTGCTGCTGCTGCTGCTGCTGCTGCTGCTGGCTGCTGCTCTGATTGGCTGCTGCTGCTCCTGCTGCTGCTGCTGCTGCTGCTGATGCTGCGCTGCTGCTGCGCTGCTGCTGCTGCTGCTGCTGCTGCTTCTTCTGCTGCTGCTGCTGCTGCTGCCGCCGCCGCCTGCTGCTGCTGCTGCTGCTGCTGCTGCTGTTCTGTCTGCCTCTGCTGCTGCTGCTGTTCTGTCTGCCTCTGCTGCTGCTGCTTCTGCTGCTGCTGCAACACTTGCTGCTGCTCTCTCACACCAACTGTGGTATATTTTTCTGAGAAAAGAAATTCATGCCATAAACCTGCTTGTAGCGGCAGTGGTCGTTGAAGGAGCAATCAGGATCACTAGCAGCTGTAGCGGCAAATGTGGATTGCAGGAGGGCAGCAGGAACGCCAGTGGCTGTACCAGCAAACGTAAAAGCAGTAGCAGCAGAAGTGAAAGCGTTTGTAGCAGCAATTGTGGATGAATCAGTAGCAGGAGCACCAGTGGATGTAGTAGGCAAATGTGGATACAGAAGAAGGAGTGCGAGCAGCTGTAGTCAAACGTTGCACTGCTCCTGTTGCTTCTTCCACCCGAACTAGGAGCTGGGATTGCTGATAATGGTGGGATTGACAAGGGAACGAAGTTAGAGCCAGGAACCGGCATGAGAATGTGGGGCTGGCAGATTGCGCATAGAAGATGGAATTACCATACCTCTTTCCGTCTCTTCAAGAGGCTCACTCCAGTGGGGGGACATCCGTGCAGCCTGTTTGTCGGCATCGGTCATTGTACGGCGTAGGTGGCTGGTGCATGTTAACAGTTGACGCCGCATTCCGAATGTGAGTCACACCATCACAACTTGTGATGGTATGTGGCGGCGTGGGTGGCTGGTTGATGTTGAGTAGAGGAGCTTTGCTATCACTGGTGGCATGATCCGTGACCGGTAACTAGCTGCTTGGGTAGCCGCTGGTGCATGTTGAAGCGACGAAGAATTCTCGACATCATCCCTCGTGATCATCATGCTGCTTGGCTGCTTGGGTGGCTGATGCATGGTGTCTGGTTAGCAACCAGAGGCTGAGGTTGATGGAGGGAGTGTGAGAAGTCTCCTGAAGACCACAGAAGTGCTCACTCCCCGTGACAACCACGCAAGGCAGAAGTGTGCAATTCTTCCTGGAGACCAATCACAGCAGGAAATGGGAAATATCCTTTGAAAGTCTCCTACAGACTATGTGCCGCATAAGTTTGGCGAAGTCCCAAGAGCAACGTCCTGCGACGGTTGATGCCAACTGCCGTATGGGGCTGACTCAGGCTGCTTTCCCCAGTGGGGCCCTGCGTGTCATTGGAAGCGGGAGAAATCAAGCATGGATTAAAATCATGAGTGTGTGTGCGGGTGTGTGTGTGTGAGGGAGAGAGAGAGAAAGAGATAGAGAGAGAGGAGAGAGAGGAGAGAGAGGAGAGAGAGAGAGAGAGAGGAGAGAGAGAGAGAGAGAGAGAGAGAGAGAGAGAGGAGAGAGAGAAGAGAGAGAGAGGAAATAGAAATCCAGATTGTGTAGCAGTGTCGCAATGCTGAGTGGCACTCAATCAGATCATTCTTAAGTGGGCGGTGGAAATGGTAGTACTCACGAGCTGGCGACCACAGAGACTCTCTGAAGGAGGAAATTGGTAGCAGCCACCAATCGTACAATACAACCACCGTGATCTCGATATTTACGAAGCGTCGCCGAAAAAAATGCGCATTCTTAGTTGGAGCTACTACTAGATGAGGCGATATTAATCTGGGTTTTGGGGGTGGCCATATTTGCTTGGTTCACTGGCTGCTGGAAAAGCAGTGACACTGGAACAGGTGTGATCCACTATGCCCGTGTCAGAGCGGACCGGTTCACTTCGCATTTGGACGGGGTTTCGAACAGATGCGAATTCATCTGACATGGTGAACATGGTTACGCTGCTCTGGTGTGGATAGAAATTGATTGGCTAAAACCATGTTCTGTGGAGGAGGTTCGGGTCTCGTTCGGTTGGGAGGTTGGCGCAAAGGCTTGGGACGTGCGGAATCGCTTCTCTGCGCCTGGGTAGTTCCCATGGGGAATACAGTAAGTTCCAGAAAGGAATGGTGTGGTTTGGCGCTTTTTGTTGCGGTAGGTGCGGAAGGGAGTGGTGTGGACTCCCCCAAAACTGCTCCAAACCAAATATCTTGCTGATTAGCTACGAGGCAGCAGCTTCGGCCAGCCAAACGTTTCACCATGCCGAGCCTAGTGTAGACGTTGCTGGTCCGATTACACCCTGTTTCGCGCTAGCAGAGCATCTGGTTGCAGAACATGCACAGGTTGTAGAACGTCACCACGTTTGAAATGGTCTTATCACCGACGGTACAGCACATTCACAAGAAAGCGGTTAGCTAGGATGCTGCATGGTAAAGAACATTAACCAAGCGTTTCAAAGCGGTTGAAAAGGGTATACAGCGATAAAGAAAAATTTTGCCCCCAGTACACTCCGTCAGCTGGTGCGGCTTTGCCCGCAGGTTTCAGCCATACGGTTTATGGCACCTGACCGCACTGTAGCAGCGAATCGCGCAAGGTGAGAGGTCGAGAAACAGGGTGTACAAGGCTGGTCTGAAACGAGGAATACAGCACAGTTGTACATTTGTACAAGTTGAAGCCCTTCCGTCGGACTGACGGTGGTTTTGCTTCAACGTGCAACTGTCCACGGGCAGGACAGTGATTGGACCACGCTACGGCCGGATGAGAACAGACATTTGATTTGATGTGGTGGAAGCACATTTTGAACCTGTACCGTTACATCTGTTCTCGATTAAATCACATCCCTTAATCGCAGACCCTGGGGTACTTACCCTACTCCTATCGGTTTCGTAGGGTAGTTTACCAATGTCTAGGAAAACCGCGGAGGAGGGTCCGACGTACTTTCGCGAACTGTCAAGGTGCACCAAGAATATAAAAGAGAACCCGAACCTAACTAAACCCCAACCCCGAATTTTAAGTGCGAGTTTCTTTCTGAAGGCACCTGCCAGCTTCTGAGGGCTTTTAAGTGGTTCTTAGCTTTCGCAGAGCTTCGTCAACGTAGCACCTAGCAAAAAGGGGCTTATAAAACTCTGTAACTCCTTGTTGACATTTTGACTTCGGTCTCTTCTGTGGGACTTCGGTTTCTGTGGTTCGTATTGGTTCATAACGACTGCAGCTTGCTCGAGGGCTTGTAATGTGGGTGTAAATGTCTTGTAAAAAAATCACGGGTGCAAACTTTCTATTGTAACAGAGCGAACTCGCGCACAAGGGCTGAGCATCTTGTGTAGCCCATCTGGATTCAACATCTCAACGACAAGTCAACGGTAGATACGTCAGACCGTCTGGAATCTATGGTTTCAACGTCAATCAAGGGTGCGAGTCTCTTTAAAGTCAACGCTATTTTACAGGCCCTGGTTTCTAGATGGTCAGCCTCATAACTCCCCCCCAACGAGTTACGTTTGACTTCAATTATGGTCGCGCTGACTTTGATGAAGTCTGAGTTATGAAATAGTTTCTCTGTATCATAGATTTGGACTTAATCATCCTTGTTATACGAACGCCATTCCCATTACATGCTCAGCATGTTGTAACCTTCATAACGTATCAGCGATACAACTATTGGTCATATTCCATACAAGCGGATGACGAGTTTCAGGCTTGAGAGACAAGATCGTCTTCTGTTTTATTATCAATGCTTGTCCCTAGCATCATATAGTATAAGTTCAAAAAATCACGATGTTTCAACCTCTTCAGACTGATTTTGAAAGAAAAAAAAATACACTAACCTTAGCTCAACTAGATATGACTGCAATCGCCACTACAGTTGACAAGATTCCTTCCCATGCTTACATAAACATCTTAAACGACCCCCACGAAACCCACCATAACCCGGGCCTAGCTTTTGAGACGGTTTCCGTTCTTTCTTGCCCATGTCACCAGCACCTGCACTGCACTGCCAGCAGCAGAGCCAGCAGCACCACCGGCACCTCTAGCAGCGGCACCAACAGCAGCACCAGATGACACATGTTTAGAACTAGTGGTAGACGCGGCTGTGGGCCTGGCGAAAGAACCTCCCCCAGAGCCACCAGATGAACCTCCCCTGGATCCAACCTGCAGAAGAATGACTGTCCTCTTCCTCCCCCTCCACTACTGCCACTGCCACCGCCAGCAGCAGCAGCAGCACCATCACCACGGCTCCCAGAACCTTCCTGACCACCCCACCCTCTTCCACTTCCCCCTCCCCTCCCCCCTCCCCTCCCAGCTCTCCCTCCCCTTCCCCCTCCTCCCCGCCCTCCCCCACCTCCTCCTCTTCCTCCTCTCCCTCCTCTCCAACCTCTCCCCCCACCTCCTGGCCCAATTCCTCCCCTTCCTCCTCCAACCCTCCACCACTCGCCCCTAACCCCCCTCCGCCTGACCACCCTCCCCCTCTTCCTCCTCCTCCTCCTCCTCCTCCTCCACCTCTTCCTCCTCCTCTGCTCCCCCCATGCTGCACGGTTACCACCTTCCCCCAGCCCATGAATCAGCCCCGCCTCGATTCGCTTCATCTCAGCCGCTTGTGCCGCCGATCCGACGGCCACGGAGCCCTTAACCTTGTAGCTGTAGTTCTTGCCGTCTTTCACATAGAACTGGGGTCCTTGGGCCTGGGCCTGCGCTTGGGCTTGCTGTGACTGTGACTGTGACTGCGCTTGTGCTTGCACCAACCCCTGCTGCTGCACCTGCTGCCCCTTCAAACCAGCACCAACAGCACCACCAGCACCAGCAGCACCACCAGCACCACCAGCACCACCAGCAGCAGCGCGTGCAGCAAACCTCGTCCCCACCTCCTCAACCTCACTGCTCCCCGCACCTCCTGCCACGTCATACCCTTCCAGCTCATCAAATGAGTCGTCATACTCATCGTCGTACTCAAACTGCGACTCAAACACAAACCGCTTCACTGCCTCCTGCTCCCTCCTGCTCCCCGTGCCTGCTGCCGAACCTCGCTTCCAAACCTCCTCTTCCACCGACTCATCCTCCCTCTTGCTCCGGACGAACCTACCAGCAGGAGCAGCAGCAGAGGCAGCGGCTGTAGCAGCGGCTGTAGCAGGGGCTGTAGTGGGTGTGGTGGTAGTTTTTGCAATGCCTGCCCACGAGCTCCCACCCTCCCCAACCGCACTGGACCCTTCTCCTCTCAGCTTCCTCTCCACCTCTCTCTGCTGGTCCACAACCCCTCCCCACCCCCTTGCACCCCCTTCCTCATCCTCCTCGTCCTCCTCTCCTCCCTCTGCAACCACTGCCTTGCCCTTTCCTTTACCTGCTGCCCCACTTGCAGCACCACCACCAGCTGCACTAACAGCACCAGCAGCACCAACAGCACCAGAAGCAGCAGCAGCATCCCCCTTACCACCCGCACCAGCCTTCCCTGGCTTCACCTTCAGCTGAGTGTCTAACTTAGCTAAATCCGGGTGTAAACTCCCCTCCAGTACATGCTGAATCACCGCCTCTGCATCCCCCCCATACGCCTCCAAACACGCACCCACAAAGCCCTCCCCGAAATCCGGGAAAATATCTCGCACGAGCGAGATCTTGGATTGCTCGAGGGCTGCTGACTCAGCATCAGCGGAGGCAGAGAGGGAGGGAGTGAGGGAGGGGAAGTCTTCTGCTGAAGGGGGGTGGTTCGCTGCTGTGGTGTTGCTGGTAGTGGATGGGTCAGAGGAGGAGGAGGAAGTGAGGGGTGGTGGCAGGGTGATTGGAGGGCCTATTATGTCCGAGATCGTATCGAACTGCGTGTTATCCAGGGGAAGCTTGCCTGCAGGAAAGACGGAAGAAAACAAAACGAAAACAGAAGTGAGGGGTGGTGGCAGGGTGATTGGAGGGCCGATTATGTCGGAGATTGTATCGAACTGTGTGTTGTCGAGGGGAAGCTTGCCTGGGGAAACAACGCGAGCAATAAAAGGAAAAACAGTGGGGAGAGAAGTGAGGGGTGGTGGCAGGGTGATTGGAGGGCCTATTATGTCCGAGATCGTATCGAACTGCGTGTTGTCGAGGGGAAGCTTGCCTGGGGAATGGGAAGGAGGGCATATCACAGAAGAAAGGGTTGACTTTTGAGTCGACTCAAAAGGGAGAGAGGAAACACTGGATGAGTGCTATTTTGGCGGAACGGGCACTGACTGAAAAAGTACAACCACACGTCAAGCTGAACACACACAGCCACACAAGCAGCTCTATGAAACACTAGGTAAGACAAGAACCTTCTAAGGGATAGGTAGTAGATATATAGCTTAACACAGAACCACACCATTCAGGACAATAACCTTTTGATACACACCTAACGAGGCGAAAACCGGCCTCCTATTGCTCAGTTTTTTTCCTCACCTACCTTTCATTTTCTCTTCATAGATTGCTGACCGAAGACCAAAAGAAGCATCAACTGCCCGAAGCAGAGGGATCCACGCCACGCCATCCACATCTTTGCTGCCCGTGCTGCCCGAGCTCACTCCATGCACCGCAAGAATCTCTTCGAGCAGCACCTGCCCGAAATTCATTTTCTGGCCAAGCAGCCCGTCCCACAACGGGCACCCAGATTGTTTTCCCCTGCCCGGCTTGACTCCACAATCACACACAGGGCAGGGTGGCAAACCATCACTGCTGCTACCACTGTTGCTGCCTCTATTTCTGCTACCCCTGCTCCTGCTAGTCCTATCACCACCAGCAGTATTATCACCACCAGTACCACCACCACCAGCAACAGCAGCAGCAGCAGCAGCAGCAGCAGCAGCACGAGCACACCCCCTTCCTCCAAGATACGCGCCCCAGAGATACTTCCACGCAACTTCCTCCAGCTTCGTTTGAAGAATCTTCCCCTGAACATTCACCGTTGCTGCTGACTGCATCGGTGTTCGCTTTGCTGATAACGAGGAGTTGGAGGAGGCGAGGAGGAGGAGCAGAGGGAGAAATGAGTCGCGAATTTGAGCCAACACAGAGAGAAGCCGCACAGGAGAACTTGCTGCTGGTGCTGCTGCTGCTGCTGCTGCTGTGCCTTGTTTCGATTTCCTTGTAGGTGCTGTTCTCGTTGTTGTTGCTGTGGTTGCTTGCAGGAGGAGTAGCGGGGCAGGCGGGTAGGCATCAAACAGCGCGTCGAGAGAGAAGGCGAAGTCACAGAGGTATTGGAGGGCTTCAATAATCTCAGAGGCAGAAGCTGGCTGTGGGGAGAGCAATGGGGAGACGAGGAGGAGGAAAAGAGGGTCAAAGATTGAGTTGAGAGAGAGAAGGCAAAGTCACAGAGGTAGTGAAGGGCCTCGGTGATCTCTGAGGAAGGAGGTGGCGATGATGCCTTGCTGTGCTGCAGAAGTGGGTGGGGGAGGGCAACAGGGAGACGAGAGGGTGGAAAAAGAGGGTAAGCATCAAAGAGCGCGTCGAGTCGAGGGAGAGAAGGCAAAGCTATATTGGTGCGACTCTTGAGAATTCTCATAAGTCGCAGCAAAGTCAGAGAGGTAGTGAAGGGCATCGATGATCTCTGAGGCAGAAGCTTGTTGTGAGTCTGCTGCGTCCGATGATGGGAGAAAACAAGAAGATGGGAGAAAACAAGAAGATGAAGAGATGTCTCCATCTAACTCTGTTGCCTAAAGATAAAAACAACTAAACAACGAAACTTCCTCTCACGGACAAAGTAACACTACGTGATCTGTACCTCCTCCGTTCGCCCACATGCCCTCGCCACCATCTCCTCAACCACCCGCAGCAGCAGCTGCTGTAACGGACCAAGAACAACAACACCTTCCTCCCTTCCTTCCCCCCAACCCCACTCCCATCCTCTCAATACATACCTCCTCCATTCGCCCGCACGCCCTCGCCACCATTTCCTCAACCACCCGCAGCAGCTGCAGCAGCAGCTGTGCCTACGAAATCAGGAACTCCCCCCATTTCCATTCGATGCACCACGTACCTCCTCCATTCGATGCACCACGTACCTCCTCCATTCGATGCACCACGTACCTCCTCCATTCGATGCACCACGTACCTCCTCCATTCGATGCACCACGTACCTCCTCCATTCGCCCACATGCCCTCGCCAACATCTCCTCAACCACCCGCAGCAGCTGCAGCAGTGACGCCAGCCAAAGACCTTCCCCTACCCTATCCAATCCGTACTCCTCCATCCACTTACCCCCTCCATCCACTTACCTCCTCCATCCACTTACCTCTTCCATCCACTTACCTCTTCCTTCCACTTACCTCCTCCATCCACTTACCTCTTCCATCCACTTACCTCTTCCATCCACTTACCCCCTCCATCCACTTACCTCTTCCATCCACTTACCTCTTCCATCCACTTACCTCCTCCATCCACTTACCTCTTCCATCCACTTACCTCTTCCATCCACTTACCCCCTCCATCCACTTACCCCCTCCATCCACTTACCTCCTCCATCCACTTACCTCCTCCATCCACTTACCTCCTCCATCCACTTACCTCCTCCATCCACTTACCTCCTCCATCCGCCCACACGCCCTTGTCACCATCTCTTCAACCACCCGCAGCAGTTGAAGTAGAGAAGACGAGAGATCAGCTCGGAAGAGAGGCTGAGAGACCAGCACCCGACACACCTGGTGGTGGGGAGAGGTGCAATGCGGTGACAAGAGGTGCAGAGCAGCACGGGATGCATTCAATCTGTCTGTACCCACACGATCCGCCTCCACCAGCAGGAGCAGCAGAAGAAGTGGTGCAATACGGTGATGCAGGGAAACCAAGGAAGCAGGTGCAGTGCAGTGCAGTGCAGTGCAGTGAGGTGGGGTGCTAAAGTAGGTGGTGCAATGGGGTGAGTGATCAAGTAAGGGGCGCTGCGGTGATGGGGGGCAATTAAGTGAGCGGTGCAGTGCAGCGAAGACGGGTAACCAAGAGGTGAAATGCGGTGAAGCGGGGCAGAACAGTGTGCGGAGGTAGATAGACTAACCAGCTGCCGTGTTGCAGCGGGGTTTGCCCTCGCAAAGACAGCAGCCACGTCCATGAGCTTGGGCGCATCGAAGAGGCGCATGGAGAGGAGGAGGTCTGCGAGCGACAGGTAGAGAAGCGGGGAGAGAGGTCAGAAGAGGAAATTTGGCCCTCGCAAAGTCAGCAGCCACGTCCATGAGCTTGGGCGCATCAAAGAGGCGCATGGAGAGGAGGAGGTCTGAGGGAAGGGAAGAGAGGGTTGAGGTGGTAGGGGAGAGAGAGATGTAGAAGAGGGGAGAGAGGGTAAGAGAGGCAGGTGGCCTTCCCAAAGACAGCAGCAGCCACGTCCATGAGCTTGGGTGCATCAAAGAGGCGCATGGAGAGAAGGAGGTCTGGGTAGGACGGAGAGGGTGGAGTGGAGGTGGAAGGGGGAAGTGCAGGGGAAGAAGGAGGGCAGATGGAAAAGAGACAGAGTTTGTCATTCTAAAGACAGCAGCCACGTCCATGAGCTTGGGCGCATCGAACAGACGCATGGAGAGAAGGAGGTCTGGGTAGGACGGAGAGGGTGGAGTGGATGGAGGGCGTGTGGGGGAACAAGAAGGGAGATGGAAAAGAGAAGGAGGTTTGCGCCTAGTTTTGAGTCGACTCAAAGCATGGAGAGGAGGAGGTTTGCACGAGAACGAGGAGCGTGGAGGTGGAAGGGAGAGTTGTTGTGAGGAAGTAGGGAGAAGTTCTATAGGTCATTCGTAAACTCTTAGTAGGCTTGCCGCTTGCTGCGGATCAAAACCAACTAATTTCAATCGTAAGGAGGTAGGGAGAAGTGGGGGGGAGAGGGGATGGAGAAAGAGGAGAGAGGCACTTGGCCTTTCCAAAGGCAGCAGCCACGTGCATGAGCTTGGTTGCGTCAAATATGCGCATGAGCAAGTGGCCAATGAAAGTCATGGAATCAACACGTGGCGGTTGAAAAAACATGAGGGTTGAATCGCATGGTGTAGGAAAGGCATGGCTGGGAGCGGCATACATACGTGCATGGTCCTTGGCCTGAGGTGACTTTTGAGTCGACTCTAAAGGCATGGCTGAGAGCGGCATACATACGTGCATGGTCCTTGGCCTGAGGTGACTTTTGATTCGACTCTAAAAGCATGGCTGGGAGCGGCATACATACGTGCATGGTCCTTGGCTTGAAGCTGCTCTGATGGTTTCGCTCTGGACTCGATATTAGATGACCTGTTAGTAGCATGTACAGGAGAAGGAACCAGATAAAAAAATAGCTGGAAAATGGGAGCGAGAAAAAAAGGTTCCCATTTCGCTCCCATTTCTTGTGAAAGTGCAGGAAATGAAAGATTCGCACAAGAGTAGACATGGAATTGCCCTTGTTGAAATGCTTACGCATAGAAATTTCATGCTTGTGACATGCCAGCGCACCACAATACATGCTGATGCACACGGCAATACACAAGCATACACATGAATTGCCATGTTCATGCCCACGCACCACAATACATGCTGACACACACGGCAGCTGACAGACACTCACATGCGCAGCAGCAGCAGGAACACCAGCCGACACAACTCCTCATCCCCCACCACCACTCCCCTCCCTGTCGCCTCACTCCCCTCTCCTCCCCCTCCTCCCCCGTTCACTCCGTCTGCTCCTGCTGTTCCCAAAAATCCGCCAGTTTCAGCAGCAGCGGCGGCGGAGAGAAGATGGTCAAACCAACGGGACCGGAAGCGGAGGTACGAGTCGAGGAAGGCCACGAGTGAGGGCGAGCGGGCAACTGGGGCAAACAGGGGGAGGGGGGAAAGGGGAAATTCAAGAAAGAAGTGGGTGAGAATTGAGCAGCAGCAGCAGCCGAGAGGAGGAGGTCAAACCATCGGGAGCGACTTCTGAGAAGGTGGGAATCCAAGAAGGCCCCGAGCCAAGGCGAGCGAGCAACTGGGATGGGGGGAAACAAAGTGTTGAGAGGAGGGGGGGATGTAGGGAAAGGGGGAAGGGGGAAGGGGGAAAAGGGGAGAGGGGGAAAATGGGGAAAAGGGAGGAGAGGGGAAAGGGAGAAAGGGGAGAAATGGGGAAAGGAGAGAAAGGGGAAAAGGGGGGAAAGGGAGAAGGGTGAAAGGGGGAGAAAGGAGGAAATGGGGGGAAAGGGGAAAAGAGGGAATGGGGTATGCACATGGGTACAGGGTAGGATGCACACACACACTCCCCCTACACAGACCATACCCCCTCTCCCCCCTAACACCCCTCCCCCCTCCCACACACACTCACGTACCTGTTCTCCAGAACTGCTTAGCTGGCAATCTCAGCATCTCTCGAAGCCTCTCCACCGTCCGATCAACCATCTTTTGAGTATCGCCCGAATCCACCCCTGCCAGACCTGCTGCCGAGCCTCCCACCAAGCCTCCCTCCGAACCTCCCTCCAAGCTTCCGTCCAAACCTCCCATCCTGCTTACTCCACCTGCCAGAATCTCATCCTGTGGCAGATACGACAAAAACGGCTCCTCCTCCTCCTCCGGAGCTGTTGCTACAGCCATAGATGCTACTGCAGGCACTGCTACAACCGTTGATGCTGCAGGAGCTGCTACAGCCGTTGATGCTGCTGCAGGCGCTGCTACAGCCGTTGATGCTCCAGGAGCTGCTACAGCCTGGGGTGGTGCAAATCCAGGAGGGGCTCTTACAGAAGCAGCATGTAACGAGGATGAGCCAAAACCTGGCGGAAAAGCGGGAGAGGCGGAAGCGGATGGTTGGGAAGGGGAGGGCCCGAAAACCGGGAGGGACTGCGAGGCCAGACGAACCAGCTGTAGCAGCTGTAACAGCGGCTGCTGCAGGGGGTGTAGCAGATGTAGCAGCGACTGTAGCAGCTGTTGATTCTACTAGATTGGTCCGCTTCTCAAATCCAGGGGGCACTGAGGGAGCAAGTGGGGCAGATCCTAAAATTCCGGCACTGCCCGTCGCATCCAAATTCTGCCCGTCAACCAGCTGAGATTGTTGGATTTGCTGCCCGTGCGCTGAGTGATGAGCCTGCTGCTCCGCTTGCTGCTCCCCCTGCTGCTGCTCCGCTTGCTGCTCCCCCTGCTGCTGCTCCGCTTGCTGCTCCCCCTGCTGCTGCTCCGCTTGCTGCTCCCCCTGCTGCTGCTCCGCCTGCTGCTCCCCCTGCTGCTGCTCTGCCTGCTGCTGATAATTCCTTCCCCCTCGTCCGCCCCCCCCGCCCCATCTTCCGCCAAACCCGCCTCCCCGTCCGTGCCTTCCGCCTCCGCCGTCCCCCCACCAGCCGCGCTGATCCCCTCCCCCATGCCTTCCGCCGCCTCCGCCCCGCCCCCCTCTCCCTCCGCCACCCCAGCCTGACGCGTCCCCGTCACCCCTTCCGCCTCTTCCCCCTCCGCCTGTTCCCCCTCTGCCTGTCCCCGCGCCATCCCCCCAACTGTCTCCTACATACGCCCCCCCGCCACCCCTCCTTCCGCCTCCACGTCCGCGGCCTCCGCCGCCGCCCCCCCGCGGGCGCCACTCACGGCCTCCGCCACCCCCCCCTCCGCCTTCCATGTTTCGAGGCGAGCGGGAGGTTCGGAAATAAGGTCAGCAGTAGTGCTGATCCAGATGGATGTGACTATACGCGGATCAAGCTGGCGTCCGTAAGTCGCGAAACTTCGCTAATAGATCAGGCACGGGAAACACGCGTGACCCTGCCAGTTCATAGTAGGGACTACGGAACAGAAACCAGGAATGTATGTAACCTACCGTCTTTAGGAAAACACTACAGAACTAGATCCTTCCTCAAAATGTTGCGTAATTCCCGAGGTTTGTTGGGTTGGGGGAAGCAGCACTCACGTAATCCCCTAGGCCCTTGCTGGTCGACGAATTCAACGAATTTTGTACCCGATATACGTTCAGTCCAAACAATTGAAGCCGTTAAACTTTTGACATCACTGCTACTTGATATAGATTCAGCAAGAAACGAAAGTCATTGAGGGCTAGTACGGTAAATAAATTGGTGATTGCTTGTTATAGAGGAGAGCGTTACAGCATTTAGCAAACAAGTGTTGCACTATACCGAGCTACACCCAATCATCTTGCCATACTTCCAACCATGGCTCTTCCTCTCCACACCTGCCTTTCATCCACTAATCTACCTCCACTGTTTCCTCCATAACCACCATCCCCATAAGCACCAGGGCCATACGCCCCATTCCCATACCCTCCATTTCCATAACCCCCAGGAACACCATTTATACCACCTCCGTACCCCTCATAATACCCCTCATCCTCATCCTCCTCAGAATCATACTCGTTATAGTCATCCTCAACATCATCACGCCACCTCTCGGACGGCAGCTCTTCAGGCAGAATGTACCCTGCTGCCTCGGCGTTTCTCAGGCCAGTGGCAGTGCAACACGTGGCAAGCCCAAACAGGGCTGAAGCTGCCGACCAGAGGGTTGAGCCTGTAGCAGGAGGAGCAGCAGCGGCTGTAGCAGGAGCTTCTGCTGTAGCAACCTTCCCTGTTCCTGCACCTGCTTTTCCCGAAACCATCATCTGCTGCTGCGAGGGATGGAACGGAGGCTGCTGCTTCCCATTCCGGCTCATCTTCCCCCCTCCTCCCCCCTCTCCTCCTCCCCTTCCGCTCATTCCCCCCATTCCCCCCTTCCCAGGCGCAACCATCACTCCTCCCTCGCCCTTATACCTCCCACCTCCCCCTCTCGCTCCGTTCGCTCGCCGCCCGGAAACCCTTCCATACCCGTCCATCCTCCCAACCACAGGAACCGGCCCGGCAAACCGCTGCATCTCATTGGGCGGGAACGGGGCGGTATAATACGGCAGCAGCGGAGGATTCCCCACAGGAGCACCCACAAACCTCCCACCCTTCCCCCCCACCACTGGCCCATACCCGGGCACAGCACCATAGGCAGGGAGGGGGGGAGGAGGATAGGCGTGACCATACTGTCCTGGGAACATCCCTCCTCCTGGTCCGCCGGCGTGAGCAGCAGCAGAGAGCGCAGCAGAGGTTCGGGCTCGCAGCGACTCTAGCGCCTGCTCTAGGGTTGCCATGGCTTGGAGCACGTCCGGGGTCAGAGCAGGCTCGGCAGCACCGGAGCTAGCAGACCCAGCCACGGGGTTACCACCTGCACCAGTCCCACCTGCGCCTGCCAGCGCGGCTGCGGCAGCAAAGGCTGCGGCGATAGCCGGGTCTTGGGATGAGAACGGGGCGTACGCAGGAGGAACGGGAGGATGAGGGTGCTTCTGCTGGTGCGGGTACGAAGCAGGTTCTGAATCGTCCAGGGTAACCAGCAGCTGATCCTCTGCGTCCTCGAATACCTCTTCCTCCTCCTCCTCCTCCTCCCCTCCATTCGTGTGAGTCACTCTTGCCGCTGCTGCTGTTGCTGCTGCTGCTGATGCAGCTGCCATGGCAGACCTGTGCGCCTCCGTGGGAGCCCCTTCCACAAACGACGCTGTTGCCACCAGCACCTTCTTTTCCTCCTCCACCTCCTCGCCTTCCTCTCCCTCCACCCCCGTCTCTCCCAACCCATTTTCACCCATCCCCAATCCTCCGGCCGCCTTTGCCCGGTACTCGTCCATAGCCGCTTCAATCCGGCCATACAGCTTCTCTTCCTTCAGAACCTTCCTAAACTCCACCCCCTTTTGCCCCTCATCTGCCAAGTCCGTCTCAACCTCTTTCCTAAACAAATTGAACAGCACCCCTCCGAACTCCTTGGTAACGAAGTTAACCACCATGGCCGGGAGCTTCAGATCGCAGGTGAAGATCGACCGGAAGTGGCAGCGTGAACGGCCGAGATCTTTGATGGAGAATCCGCCGTTGATGGCCATGCGGACCATTCCCGAGGGGACTGGCGGCGCCATGTCGCGGGAAAACCCGTGAATGGATGCGTCGATTTCGCTGTTGTCCTCTGGAAGCTGGGGATTGGAAGGGAGAAGGGAACGGGGAGCGGGGGGCATGGAGAGAGGGGGTGAAAGTGGGGGGTTGAGTGAGCCGTGCAGGCGACACGCCACGAGAAAACCCTTGGAAAAGAATAGTCGATTTCGTTATTGTTCGTAGGCACAGGCACCCTCCCACGCGGGCGCACAGACGAACACACTCGCTTACTTAACAACCCTCCCATATTCCCAGACACAGTCGCAATCATACTCGTACACTCACCGTGCGGACGACAGTGGTGGCAACACCCGTGTCGGAGTCGTAAATGGTAAAGAAGATCATCGGAACTCACACTCGCACACACAGTTACAGTCACACACTCACACGCTCGCGCACTCAATGTCACACTCAGCATACGCACCGTGCGGACGACAGTGGTGGCAACGCCCGTGTCCGAGTCGTAAATGGTAAAGAAGATCATCGCGAACTCCTGCCACGGGAACGGCCACGGCACCTTGAACCTGGAGGTAAGAGCACAACGAACGAACAGGAGAGGAGAGGAGAGGAGAGGAGAGGTGAGGTGAGGACAGCAGGAGGATTGTGGTTAGCTTGCGAGTTGACGGGGAAGGGTAGCGAGTTCCACTAAAGCGTGTGTAGCACACACGATACTCTGACTCCGTCTAGCGAGCTACTCACTTCATATAAGTGATATCGAAGCCGTCGCCGACGCGCGCGAGGTACCGGTTCTCGACGATTCTGTAGACGGGCATGTCGCCCTGCGGCCACCACTCCTTGAAGAACCCCGCGTCGCGCGTCATGGCGACGGCGGCGTGCACGGGGCTGTCGATGCGCCCCTCCATGCACAGCGCGTTTATCGCCGTGCCTTCCGGGCCCTTGCGCAGCATCGCGCGGTGCTCCGGACCCTCCTCGCACATCTGCGGGAGAAGCAAGGACGTGCAGATATAGGTGATGAATACGGGGTTATGAGATTGTGACGGGGTGATGGAATGCAGAAATCAAACGCTTCGCATTGTTGAGGCGCATTCCAGGAGTTTGTAGAAATCGCTTCAGTGGCTAGTAGAGGGAAGGAAGAACCTTGTACGTATGTTTTTCGTCGAATAAAAAAAGCGGCGAGTAGAGGGAAGGAAGAACCTTGTACGTATGTTTTTCGTCGAATAAAAAAAGCGGCGAGTAGAGGGAAGAAGAAAGTACCTTCCACGCATTGCGGTCCGCAGGATCGGTAGTAGCGAGAGCCTCCACGCTGACACTCTTAAGATCCTCCAAGAGCTTAACGGTCTCCGCTGCCCAATAGTCCGCCACGCTGTTGCTCGATCCACCTGCTCCCGCTGCTCCTGCTGCTGACCCATTTTTCACGTCCAGCTGCTTGCTTATAAGAGCCGTGACTTTATCGAGGTCCTTCCACGTGGGCTCCTCGAGCGCCTGATCGAGTAGGTCGATGCCTTCTGCTAGCGCCATGGCTTGGGTTTCTTTCGTAGAAATGGAATACTACGCTACAGGAAATAAGTTACCGTTATGGGAATACTACGCTGTTCCGAGTCCAGTTTCCAAGTTGTATTTCGCAGTTCGTGAAATCGTGAATGAGGATTCGGCCTACTATCGTCCTGACAGTGCAGGCGTGACCATGAATCCCGCAGTGGTTAACGGACGATGAAGAAACAAGCTAACGATAGATTACCTGAGAGAGACACTCCTCTAGAATCAATGGTCGCCCTTTCTATCAAGACTGATGAGACTGACTAACTGCCGAAGTTGACGGGTTATGTGATGGCTTGGATGGAACTTCAAGGCACAACTGGGCAAGGTGGTCAATATGAACTAGCATGTATCGCCTCGGTTTCATACCTGTCGTAGGAGAACCTCGTCTAGCCCCGACTAAAAAACACTGGCGGTGGAGGAACCTGGGAGCCGCGCGCCTTTTCTCCGCTGTACGGATAGCTCTGCGGTGAAACCAAGGTACAAAGACGTAGGTACTTAGTTAAGTGTGTATCAGCGAAAACTAGCGGTGGGATGGCGACAAGACTCGGTACAGTAGATTCGGTTTTGGACGACTAGGCTCGGACGAAAGACATCTGGTCAGCACAGCGCGACATGTGCGAGGCAACGATGTACCCGAACCGAGCGTCGTGCGTGAAATACCAATCAAAACCAACCTTGTTTCGCTAGGCACGGAGCCTGCGGTGGCGGTGGCGAGGTGTGGTGGGGTGAGGCTAGGCGAGGTGGAGGTGAAGTCCGAACCTTCAATTCGATTCGAAGCACCTAGCTTTCGCACCGTTAGCCTCGAATCGCGTCAACTTCACACGCATCGCGCAGTGAACAGTAATGCCGTTCATGCCACCGGCCTATGAATGCAGAGTACGCAATATGAAAGAATTCCGGGGTTAGGCCAAGTGGTTGAGAACAGTTGTAGACGTTTCTGATAAGGGGCATTCCGGCTGCAGTCTATGACTTGACTCATTAAAATTTTAAGTGCGAATCAAAATTATTTTTCACAGTTTAGCATTCCTCGCAACACATAAAGCACATATGACGTAGAAGCCTTTGTGTGTCACGTGGTTGAGCAGCTCTTATTTTGGTGAACTCTTTAACACAACTCAAAACCTTTTTTACTACGTAATAAATACGAAACAAAGCACGGCTTCACTGCCTCAGCTAGACAGACCTACCCAGGGGCCTATAGAACCTTGCTACTGCGTGAAAATCTCATTCCAAAGAATCTCTTGCCGATTCTTGAGAGGGAAACCCTCTTCCCGCCATCTTTCGGCTTTCCGGCCTTACCAGCATTACCATTGTCTAAGCATCCCAGTGCAGTATCTTCGTCACTCCCACCCGACTCTCCTGTAACCGTGACAGGCCGAGCGGCAGACTTGACCGGCCCAACAGAACTGCTTGAGAGTGCATTGTTCCCTGTCTCCCCATCACCCAGCACCACCTCCTCTTGGAAACCATCCTGCTGTGAAGGTGAGCAACTGAAGGCTTCTCTCTTCGTCCCAGTTGCAGCAGTCATGCTTGTGACATGTTTCTCATGCTTGGCATCGCCTTGTGGATCTGAAGGACCCGCTTCTGCTGCTGCTGCTGCCGCTGCACGCGCACGTACAAATAGAATCGCCTTATCCAGCGTAGCAACCGCCCGGAAAATTGCGGGGTCTCTGTGATAAAGCCCGGGGTAACTGCTCGGACTGCTGCTACCGCTGCTGCTCTGGCTGCTGCTGCCGCTGGCACTGGCACTGTCACCGCAAGCAAAGGAGCTTCTGCTGCTGGTCACGCTGCAACTGCTGTTGAGCATGTCTGGAATTTCACCTGCCCGAAGGTTAGCAATGACACCATAGCTGCCGCTGCTGGTGCTGCCAGTGACGGTTCGGATGCTTGGAAGCGGCCCCGAACGTACCGAGGAGGACTCCCGAAGCAGGCTCGCCATGCCTTCTCCGGCTTCCAGACCTCCGTGCCGAGCCAAAGGTAGAGGCCCGGAAGAAAAGGTTTGGGTAACGGAGCTGAAGGAAGTGGAAGCACTGGGAGGGCCCTCAGCAACATTAGCTGCAGCAGAAGCAGCAGCCAGAATCGTTGCAGCAGCTGCCGATGCTTCACTTGCAGCCATACCAGCCGCTCCTCCGGCTCCCAACCCGCTCCCGGACCTGCTTCCGGACCTGTCCCGAGCCTGTGAACCAGGAGGTTCAACAGAAGGTCGAGTCAGCGCTACAGCCGAAGCAGCAGCAGCCTCCAGCTGTAGCAGAGCCTCCTCCGCCTCCTCAGGCCCAAGCACACTCTCCCTCTTAGATAAAGACGAAACAAGCCGCTCCACCTCCTCCTCCACCTTTTCCCCCAATTCCCTCAACGACCTGCCCTCCTCCTCACTCCCTTCCCTCCTACTCTCCCCTTCCTCCGCCTTGCCCCGTCTATACTCCTCCATTGCTTTCCTCAGACTCATGTAGACCGGATCAGAGGCTAAGAGCTGTTGAAACGCCCCGCGCCCCTTCTTCTTATCACACTTGTTCACAGTAGCAGCAGCGGCCGCGGCTTTGACGATTGTGTCTACCTCGTGACAGAGCAGGTGGTAACCAGTGCCGGCTAGCTGCCGGGCAACGAAATTGATGAGCCACGGGGGCATGAGGTCGAACTTCATGTCCAGCGTGCATGCTCCGCTGTGGGGGGGAGGGGGGGAGAGGGGGGTAGCATGGGAGGCGACAAGGGAAGGCGTGGTGGCGTTGATGAGCCACGGGGGCATGAGGTCGAACTTCATGTCCAGCGTGCACGCACCGCTGTGGGGGGAGGAGAGGAAGGGAATGTGGCAAAGACAGGAACGGTGAGGAGAGTGTGGTTGTTGGTGCTGGTGGTACTTTCAGAGGCAACGGAGGCGATGATGAGCCTTAGGGGATTTTGAGAGACCTCAAAAACACCCTCTCTACACGTTGTTGTGGTGCTAGTGGTACTCTCAGAGGCAACGGAGGCGATGAGCCACAAGGGGATGCAGGAACGGCGCCAGGAGCAATAGCAGCAGCAGCAGTTGACTTTTGAGTTGACTCAAAAGTCAACTTTCGGAGGCAACGGAGGCGATGAGCCATAGGGGATGCAGGAACAGCGCCAGGAGCAATAGCAGCAGCAGCAGCCGCCCGCCACCCCACCCCACGTCCTGCCTCGCAAGTTGCAGAAACAAAGCCAGGAATCGCAACAGCGGCAAGGCATACCCCTCGAATTTCCCAAGAGGGAAAGCTTACCGGAAGTAGCAGCGGCCGCCCCCCAGGTCCTGGCCTGCAAAGCCGCCGCCCACAGTCATGCGCACACAGCCCGGCGCCACAGCGGGCATGGCGGATGGGTGCAGAGGTGCTGTCTCTGGGTCCATGTGTGATATGTCGTCTGGTGGCTGGGGGAAGGGGAAAAAGGGAGAGGAGGAAAAGTGGGGAGTAAGGAGGGGGTTGGGTTCGAGGGTTGGGAGGTACAGTCATGCGTACAAAGCCAGGTGCAGGTTTTGTGGCCATGTGTGATGGGTCGTCTGGTGGCTGGGGAGGAAGCGAGTAGAAAAAGCGAGTACAGTCATGCGAGTACACAAAGCCAGGTGCAGGTGCCAGGGTTTGACAGGTCGTCTGGTGGCTGGGAATTGAAGGGGGGATTGATGGCGGAGGCAACAAAAGGGGAGAAAGGAAGGGGGTTGGGAGAGACGAACCGGCATGCACACGTGCAGAAGGTTAATGTTTATTTTTGAGAATTCTCATGTGGCAAAAGTCACAAGAACATGGTTGGGAGAGACGAACCATCATGTATATTGGAGCGACTTTTGAGAATTCTCAAAAGTCGCTCCAAAAGTCACATGAACATGGTTGGGAGAGACGAACCGGCATGCACACGTGGTGCAGAAAGCGAGGCCACAAAGCAGGCCGTGGCCGTGCGTGTTGTGAGGCATGAAGGCGAGGGAGAGCAGGCACGAGCAGGCCACTCACAAGAGCACCCACACGCACACTCTCACTGAGAGCATTAACAAGAGAGCACCGTTGTTCCCTCAACACCAGCACCCACCGAGTGCACGGAGGCGACAAAGAGGCCGGTGGGCCGTGTCGTGAACCATGAAGGCGAGGACTGGTGAATGTCCTCGGCTGTGCAGCAGTGCACAGAAGCAACAAGGAGGCCGGTGGGCCGTGTCATGAACCATGAAGGCGAGGACTGGTGGATGTCCTCGGCTGTGCAGCAGTGCACAGAAGCAACAAAGAGGCCGGTGGGCCGTGTCATGAACCATGAAGGCGAGGACTGGTGAATGTCCTCGGCTGTGCAGCAGTGCACAGAAGCAACAAGGAGGCCGGTGGGCCGTGTCATGAACCATGAAGGCGAGGACTGGTGGACGTGTGTTTCTCAGCAGCATCAGTAGCGGACCCACTCCTGCCTGCACGACTCACCAAGAGCAGCCACGCTCACCGTTGGCGCGTCTACATGAGAGAGGCTCACTCGCCAGGTCACTCCCCACATCACCCATTGTTCACCCCCACACTCACCGAGTGCACGGAGGCCACAAAGAGGCCCGTGGCTGTGTCGTGAACCATGAAGGCGAAAAAGAGCAGCTCTCGCGTGGCAAAGGGCCATGGTGACTTGAACCTGTGGGACGGGAGAGGAGGTAAGGGAAGGGTGGGAGGCAAAGGAGAGGTATGAGTTGAGTCAAAACACACACGCGTGTGAACCATGGAGGCGAAAACGAGCAGCTCTCAAGAGGCGAATGGCCATGGCGACCTGAACCTGTGGGGCGGGAGGGAGAGGAGGTAAAGGAAGAGTGGGAGGCAAGGAGAGGTATGAGGTGAAGGGCCACAGATCAACCTACCGAGGCCAAAGCATGACTCGCTATAAGCATCACTGTGACTCGCTAGCTCGATCTCGACATCACCCCTGACTCGCTATAGACATCCCCACAACCCGCTATAGGCATCACGACGAATCCAGCACCGTGACTCACTGCAGGTAGCTGAGCTCTAGGCCCGGTGCGATGCGGTGGGCAAATTTGGACTCTAGCACCTTGAAGGGCGGCACGCTGAACTGAGGCCACCTGCTCGGGATGACGTGGCATGGGATGACGTGGAATGGGATGACGTGGCATGGAAAAGACGTGGCATGGAAAAGACGTGGCATCGATGCCCGCAGCATGCCTCATGGAGGTGTGAAAAGGGATATGATGGTGAGTGCAATGCTGCGCGTGACGAGAATGGACTTTTTGGAGCGCCTCAAAATTGAGTGCAATGCCGTGCGTGACGAGAATGGACAGAGTGGAAGAGAGTGACGCGTGGGACCGAGTGGGGAGATGGGGGAAAGGGGAAGCCCCCCGGCTTGGGACCGAGTGGGGAGTGGGGGAAATGTGAAGAGAGATTGGGTGGGTTGGTTAAGGGAAAGGGGAAGGGCGACAGAAGGTGGAGAAGCCAGTATAGGGCGAAAAGCGAGCATGGATTTGAAGAGACGGTGGGCTTTAATTAGTCTTACCAGTCCTTGAAAAACGGGACTTCCCACACCACAGCCAACACTGCATCGTGACACACACAAACGGGGAGAATTAGGGGAAAGATATCATTTTGAGACGCCTCAACTTGTGACGAACGGGACTTGCCAGACCACAGGCAACACTGCAGTGTGACACAAACGTTTGGTGACGGTGAGGAAGATGATGCTGGGAAGTGGGCGGCAAGGCAGGTACGGCTCAGGGACGATCAGAAAAAAAGAAAAGATGAAAAAAAAAAAGTGATTAGTGACCGCACTGCAGTCACGCTCAACATGGGAAACCAGGCACGTGGTAGCAGCGGAAAAGTAGACACGTGGCAGGGTGGCCACGTACACGTGTCAAGCGGGCCGTGGATGATTCCTTCGAGGCAGATCTCGTGCAGTGGCGTGCCCTCAGGACCCTTGCGGTACAACACGCGGTGCTCCTTCCCCTCCTCCTTCAACTGCGCAGTATTGGGAAGGAAGAGGCGAAGGGAGGAAGAAACGAGAAAGTTGAGGAGCCATCATTTTACGGTCTTCAACCGGGTCCGGTCGCCCCTTGCAATACAGCACTTGGTGATTCCTGCCCTCCCCCCCAACCCGCGAGTCAAAATAATCGCAAGCTTAGGGGAAGTGACGCTCAGAAAAGCTATCCGCCACTGGCGATCATCGCTTACCCGCCATTGTCGGTCGTCGCCGCAATCCACGCCGTCCTCCCGGATGCTTTCGTTGCTCAGCGCGAGAGACTCGAGATTCGCCTCTCCCGCGGTGCGGAGGCTGTCCAGCACGTCGATTAACTCGCGCGTCCGCGCCTCGACGAATTTCTCCGAGAATCGCGCGCGACGCGCTTGCTTCCCCGCGGCATCGACGCCAGCACCGCCAGCGTTGGAGCCCGAAAGAATGTTCCCCTTGTTGGACTCCCCGAGAACGTTGCTGCTCGGACTGAGCCCGGTGCTGACATTTTGCTCCTCGGAATCCGCTACTGCGGAACAGCCATTTGATATTTGATACAAGGACGCCCCAGGTACAAGCGCGGAAGGACGCAGAGGAAAGGGGGGAGAGAAATGGAGGGGGGAAATGGGGAAGGGGTTGGAGGATGAGGGTAGAAGGACTGGGAAGGAGATACGAATTGCGACAGCTTTTTGCGATTGGCGAAGTGGGACACGCGCTGGTTACCATTCTACACCGGTTGCCTGAGTGAGCGACGTAAGCTCTCGAACATTGCTGCTGGTAATCAGTCAGGATTTTGCGAGGATTGTATTCCGTTGCGAAGAATGATATCACTTTCCTGCGAATCACTTGGATCTGTGCAGCAGTCTTCCCATCGCCGCAACTACCCTATCGTACAAAACTTGCACTGGAGTATTCACAAGTACTCTAAAGCGCGGCATCACCTGGCAGCCTAAAACCTACTCGGGCCCGCGATCGGTTTGCGCTGCTCTTACATCACGCTTTTAATCTTTATTTCCTCCACTATTTTTCGGGGTGGGGGTAGGTATAGGTGGCACCTGGCAGCAGCAGCAGCAACTTACATCACTATTACTGAAAAAGAAGAAAGAGACGTCTCAAACTTCGCACGTACCCAGGTGCCGCCTGACAGCAGCCGCGACGGCATCGCGATCCGTCCACGCATGCGACGCGAGCGACCTATCGAGCGCCTGGCGCGCTTCTAAAAACGACATCGGCGACCGCGTCGCGCTTGTCGAGGCGAACACGTCACGCTCTTCGAGGCGCGCCTCGAAAAACCAAGTCACGCGTTCCTGCTGCTCGAGTTCTTAGTCGTCTTGGAAGAAGGGGCTCAGGGTGAAAGGCGGTTCTAGATGTGAGAATGAGGAGGAAAAACCTGTGGTCGACTGATACAGGTGATTGGAGAGTCGATTTCCCAGATGATCTGGGAAGGAGAGTCCAGTACAACAGGTTCAGCGTGTGTGTGAACTGCAAAGTAGGCAATTTTATTTTGCTGCAGCACAAGTTTTGTCTTCAGTCGCAGGTCTGTAATGCAGTAAAGCACAACTGAACCTGCTCGGCAGACACACACGGTCGTAAAGAACTAATGCTCCACAGGAACTACTAAAACCAATCACTGTCAGTGAGTGACTCATTAGGAAGAGGAAAGGAAAATGGAAGAAATTTCCCCCCAGCAACAAGAGAATTGCTGCTTTCGGTTTTGACTGGGAGGAAGCGCTACTGCTTCTCGTGAACAGATGTTGAAGAGCGGGAATCGACGGAGCAGAGTCGCCATACATCTTCATCCACGGTCGTCCTCGACCCGCATTTTCGACTGATTTTGGACGGAACGAGACTGGATGAGGAGGGGTCGGGATGGGAACGGTTCGGGTCGGGATTCGGTCGGGACGGAAGTGAATGTATTTGTGCCTGAATGCTACGACAGGTTTGGGCGACTCGGGACTCGGGATTCTGGGTGCGAGATTTTGTGGCTGCAGTTTCGTAGCTGAAATTGCAAGAAAAGAAGGGGGGAAAGGGGAGGGGGGGGGTACAGTAGGCTAGGAGGAGGGTGCTTCGTTCCAAAAGTGAATTTGGTCCGTGCGATTTTAGCTGCCAGGTTCGGCCCATAAGAGAATGTGCCGGAGCTTTTTGTTCCGCCAATGGTGAGGCGCTCTACGCAACCCAAACCACCGCCAGTCACGGAAGCCGAGCAGCCAGCTTGTCGGTGTGCACGAGGTGAGTGCCCGGCCCGCCAGGTTGCTGGCTGATATTTCAGTTCATCGGGGGAAGAGCAAGTGACATGGCCGAATCGTGCCAACGGTCAGGATTCCCGCTCACACAATCAAGTACAGTGCGTACCCCATCAATGCAATCTTCGTTAATCCGCGTTGACATACCCCCCATTGTGTTGTTCAAGGTACACAGAAACCTAACACCTTATAATCACTTGGCATGACTTCCTGGCATATCCCCTTGCTAAACAGCTTCACTAAACACCTTGTCTAACAGTCTACCCAACCACCCACTCTTCATCCCTGCACCAAATCCAAGTCAACCCAACTCAACCCCTTCCAGCACCGCACGTCACACTCGGGCCCATCCAACACTGTCAATCTCATTCCGTGCCTTGCGCAGCAGCTCCAGTCTCTTCCATGCGGCCTGCCTCCGAGCCATCACGTCCGGATCCTCATCTAGCAGCTTCGCCAATGCCTTTCCGTCCTCCCTGCCCACCATCGCATAGAACCTGTCCAGCAGCCGCCGCTTTGCCTCCCGGACCTGCAACGAACAAGCAAAAGGGCAGAAAAAAATAAGTTGGAAGGTCAATTAGTGCCTTCATTCCTGTCATCCCCACCCATTAAAGGTAAAGGGCAGAGATCTTGCTGAATCCAAGCATGGGCCATCTTGTTGAAGCAAAGTGGACTATCATACTTGGCTGTGGGCAACCCTACCTGATAATGCACGGCCTACCTGGCAATGCACCACAGCTTTGGGGATGGCACTTTTGAGTCGACTCAAAAATCGACTCATCTCAGGCAGTGGGCAACCCTACCTGATAATGCACGGCCTACCTGGCAATGCACCACAGCTTTGGGGATGGCGTTCTGCAAGCACTCCATGACCATGCCCACATAAGTTGACACGTTGGAGCCTGGAGAGGGGGGGGGGGGGGGCAAGAGTTGACAGAAAAGGGAGGGAAACCAAGGATGACTCCTGAGTTGACACGAAAAGCAGGTGGCAAATTGTTTTTGCACTGTCAAGCACTCCATGACCATGCCAAGCAGCAAAAGCCTCTTGATACAAAATTCGTGGGATAAGCAGAGACTTCTGAGGCGCCTCAAAAGTACGTCTGAGATTAGAAAAACCCACCGATTCTCCTGCAGTGCATTTCCTGGTATCGATCTGCCTTGGAGGCA